AAGTGAGGTGAAGATAGCATTGTTGGTAGCCAACAGGCTCGGTAATGCTAACATGCTAACGACAGGGATTCTGTGTTTTTATGAGGAAATCTGTGAAACGAAAGCCTGCTTCTCCTCTACCATCTATTTGTACACCCTACACCACCAAATGACTCCAGGGTTATGTGATAATCTTGTATTTGCTTGTGTACTAACCATTTCTAAGCAGTAGCCTACTGTCGTTAGCGCTGCCTGTGTTTTGCGCAAATCAGTCGCTCGTATTGCACTGTCCATAATTTTTATATTAGTGTGAAATGTAAGGATTTGTTTGTATGCATTTAAAGACCTTCAAACAATAAAAATGTGTCCAAATATCTGAGTCTTGTTCGGTCAGACTGTTAAACAGATAATCCATCTTTTTGATGTGCAAAACATTAAAGTGTGGATGAAAACTGCTCTAAATGGACGCTAACCGGCCAGCCACAGTGACAGAAGGTGTCCCTGTCATGTTGTGTCTCTGTTGTCCTGTTGTGTTTAGCAGCTTTCACAACAAACACATCGACTGTGAGATCAATGTAATACTCCGGAGAGGAAGAAGCAGACTGAAGTCCTGCCATCGCTCCGGCTTTACTCCTGCAGATGAAGCTGGAGGTGATTTCCAGAAAGGTAATGTCATCCTCTCCGGAGTGTATGAGGGGTTGTTAATGCCACGGAGGAAGAAGAAAAAAGGGAGCGATTATGCTACTCTATATAAATGGATCACATGCAGTATGTATTGTAGTGTTCACATATAAGACAACCCTGGTTATAAGATCTAATTTACTCACTTTGACATGAAATGCTTGTGTATCCTGTCCAGTTTTCTAATACTGAAACACTGATTGTGTGAGAAGCATGTTTTTATTTCCTGTTTGACCAAAGAACCCACTATACCTTCAATCGGAAATTAAACTCAACATATTTAGGTCCAATTAACTCTTAAAGAAAAACCTTTAAACAGACAAAAGCAGCATCAAAGCTTCAAACAACACGCAATGAAACCCTATGGAAAACAATTAGAGACGGAACAGAAATAAAAATTGTTTTTAGATCATTGAAATACAAAGCTTAAATATATATTCGCCTGATTGCAGGGATTATATGATGATAAGTTTGTATTTCAAATACACTCACTTTGTGAGGAGATCTTTGGTCTCAGGTGACTCATGCATGTTTGACCGTGTCCTAAAATAAATGTGTTTGCTCCACTTGGCCATTTCTCAGATAACCATCTATTTAAATGTATCTAGAAAAAAGTATCATGCCTGCCTGAAATGCCTCCATTTGACCCCTTTCTTTACTTCCGGAACATAGTGACTCTTTAAAGTAGAGACACTACATACTGATATACACCTGAACATCAGCAGGAGAGGACTCTTTAAAGTAGAGACACTAAATACTGATATACACCTGAACATCAGCAGGAGAGGACTCTTTAAAGTAGAGACACTACATACTGATATACACCTGAACATCAGCAGGAGAGGACTCTTTAAAGTAGATACACTACATACTGATATACACCTGAACATCAGCAGGAGAGGACTCTTTAAAGTAGAGACACTACATACTGATATACACCTGAACATCAGCAGGAGAGGACTCTTTAAAGTAGAGACACTACATACTGATATACACCTGAACATCAGCAGGAGAGGACTCTTTAAAGTAGAGACACTACATACTGATATACACCTGAACATCAGCAGGAGAGGACTCTTTAAAGTAGAGACACTACATACTGATATACACCTGAACATCAGCAGGAGAGGACTCTTTAAAGTAGAGACACTACATACTGATATACACCTGAACATCAGCAGGATACTATACGTCCATCCTCTTGTTAATATACTAGTATAAACAGATGCAGACTGTTTATACATTTTTTAAAGGGAGGGTAGTACTAATAAAGAGGGAGGAAGTGTGTTCCTTAAATTCAGCAAATATTTACATTTTAAAGTCAAGTGTGTTTGGGATGCTGAGCAGTCTTCCTGTAATCTCACCATCATCCCTTTACCCTCCAGATCTCGTTCAGATCGTGTTACTTTTGTGTGATTTCTGTCTGTGTGTAAGTGGGAACAAGCGAGGCGTTATCTGGTCGGGACAAAGAGAGAACGCCGTCAGAAAACAAAGATTTAGACTGCGAGCAATGAAACTGCACACAGCACCAATACCTTAAATCAATAGACAAACACAACTACTCCCTATCTCTTCTTTATTGTGTGTGTGTGTGTGTGTGTGTGTGTGTGTGTGTGTGTGTGTGTGTGTGTGTGTGTGTGTGTGTGTGTGTGTGTGTGTGTAAAGGGAAAAGCCAGTGTGCTATAAAGCAGCTGTTTCCTGGAGAAGCTGCCAGAATACCTGCTGTACTGAAAGTCCAAATAACAATCACTGGAGTTGATGCAGGCTCGTAGTAAATTACTGAAATTAATTACAATTTTGTGAATTAATGTGGCGTGTATGAGGTAACAAACCCACACAAAAACATCCCCACTGATCAAATGAAGCTGATGAAGATGGATCAGTCCTGTGCTGAACATTCATTTATCTTTTCACCCTTTAAAGCTGCATTTTAAAGTTTAAAATGTAGCTTTTTCTCCTAAATAATGGACTTTATCTCAGGGAAAGTGACTTTGACATGCACTGCAGTCTGCATAACGTCAACTCCTGCTCACTGTCAGAGTCGGTTTCTGTTAACAATGACCACAACCTTTTTCATGCTCAATATGTCCTGTTGAACCTCAAGAAAGCTTTGTTTTACATCGGAGACAAGTTGGCTTACAATCATGTTAGCAGAGGTGGAAAGTAACTAAGTAGATTTACTCAAGTACTTACTTAGAGGTACTTTACTTGAGTATTTCAATGTTATGCCTTACTTCTACTCATTCAGTTCAGAGGTACATGGTGTACTTTGACTCCACTACATGTATTTAATACCTTTAGTTAGTGTGTGTGTGTGTGTGTGTGTGTGTGTGTGTGTGTGTGTGTCCACATGAGGCTTTAGTATGGAGTATTTTCAGGCCACAGCAGTGATATTGAAGCATGCTCTCTTTAGTCCTTAAAATAAATATGAAGACAGTCGTGTTTCTACAATATTAGATGTTGACAGGGAGATTTGTGCGACACACAATCCTCTGGTAGATGTTTTTCAAATGGATTACTGGAAGATGAAAATGAGCCGAATATGTCCTCTTTAGTGTCCGAATACTGGTTCTAGTAGGGATATAACAAACAGGATAAACGCTTCTAATAAATTGTTGTTTACTTGACTGTCTGGATGAGACATGTCTGTATGTGGTTAACCATCACTGCCGGGTACAAAGTAGTCACTGAAATGAACAGCAGCTTTCTTTTGGAATAGCATATTCAGTCTCTACCTGGTTTTCAAACTAGCAAAGCATGTCCTCTCATATTCATCTTTACAGCCGAATACAGTACATCTCAGGATATATCAGAGGCAACTCTGTACTGCTGATTTATATTTAAAGAGCAGCTACGAGTCAGCAGGCTTTCTAAGTGTAGCGTAGTGACAGCCGCTCGCTCGGCTCACTCTAACAGCAGTGACCAAGCTGCTGTCTGGCCATTAAAATTACATGTTGTCATATTTAGAAAAAGTGTTTCGCACTCTTTGAATTGAACCAGTTGAACCTGAGCTCTCCTGCACTTATCTACACTGCATCCGTGACCTATAATCATGTGTTTATATGTGCTGCTGATTTCAGCTATTTATACAGCAACCCGGATAAAACATGTTTTAGCTAAAAACAAACAAGGGATCTGTTTTATTTCTCATATATTCTGGATACTATACGGTGGCAAACGCGCTCCTCAAAAAGCTTGTGAAACACATGAAGAAACATCTCCAACTTGAGGAAACATGCGTAGCGTTTACTAAAAGCAGCAAATACAATACGCTGTCGGCCACCGTAGTACGGTGGCCCTGAAGTGCAAGTCAAAACAAAATTTCAGAAAACGCTACAGCATTTCAGAAAACGCCACAGCATTTTAGAAAACGCTACAGCATTTCAGAAAACGCTACAGCATTTCACAAAACACTTCAACATTTCAACTTTTACGGAAAGGGTATTCCTTTAGGGAGAACACTTCTTGTTTGTGATTGGACAGAGCCAGCCAGAGAAGCACTGCTGTGATTGGTTGTTTTTGCTGCCAATCCAGAAATGACGTTTCGTGATTGGTCAGCACCCGACAGCGCAACATGTCCCAAAACATCAGCCGTTAGCTGTTAGCACACAGAGCTCAGAGCTCCTCATATCTGTTCAGAAACTAGACAAAAGTTATTATTATTTATGTCTGTATGACGTTGTTGTGAGTGTGGACGGAGCAGCTACAGGTTTTCTGAAATGTTGTAGCGTTTTCTGAAATGCTGTAGTGTTTTCTGAAATGCTGTAGTGTTTTCTGAAATGCTGTAGTGTTTTGTGAAATGTTGGAGCGTTTTCTGAAATGTTGATGTGTTTTCTGAAATGTTGGAGCGTTTTGTGAAATGTTGAAGTGTTTTCTGAAATGCTGTAGTGTTTTCTGAAATATTGAAATGTTTTCTGAAATGCTGTAGTGTTTTCTGAAATGCTGTAGTGTTTTCTGAAATGTTGAAGTGTTTTCTGAAATGCTGTAGTGTTTTCTGAAATGTTGAAGTGTTTTCTGAAATGCTGTAGTGTTTTCTGAAATATTGAAATGTTTTCTGAAATGTTGGAGCGTTTTCTGAAATGTTGAAGTGTTTTCTGAAATGCTGTAGTGTTTTCTGAAATGGTGTTTTGACTTGCACTTCAGGGCCACCGTAAAAAGTTCTGATTCTAATCTCACAATTCTGATCACAATCACATCCCAAACAAATGTTGTCTCATGTGTCCCTAATCCTCTTCCATAGATCAATGATATTAAGCTATATTGGAGAAAATGTATATTAAAACACACAGATGTAAACTCCCACATGCACTTGGCAGATGTCATATCAATTAAGAACTTACTTGAATCTCCCCTGGCAGTGTTGGCACTGATCTCCGACCCAGCCGTGCTCACACACACAGCTCCCGTTCATGCACTTCCCTGAAAAACAGCTTTTCTCGCAGGACTTGGACACCGAGGAGGCTTCCGAGAGGACCACGAGGTGAAGCAGCACCAATAATCCCAGGTATGTCCTCCTCCTGGACTCCTTCCTCCAGGTGCAGAGATGTAATCCTCCGATATCACCCATGATGGACGGAATTGTATGTATTCAATGTAAATAAATAGCAGCCCTGGATTAAACAACGAGCTGTCACTTTACACTGGAGCACCTTTACGCAAATTACGCACTATACGTGAACATGCCTAGCAGTGTGAAGAAAGCTGCAGGACAGAACAAAGAGATTAAACTTTGATGGCAACACTTAAAAAACACTGCAAATGCATTTCCAGTCGGATTCATCCGTGCAAACGACACGCACACCTTCACAGAAACCCAGTGTTACTGCGCAGTGCCTCCCCACAAGTCTCCAGATAACTTCCACCGATGTAAATAAACACCGTGACCGTGATGCTGCTTTCTCAACGTCAAAAACACACTGTAATCCACAGATGAAATCCCGGTGAAACCATGAAAATCCTGCAGCTGGATGCCTGGATGTGCAGCCAGACAAAGGTGTGTGTGTGTGTGTGTGTGTGTGTGTGTTCCCCCTCAGGATGCGACAGACAGCCTCTCCGGACTCTGGCTGCTGTCGCTGTCCGCTCCACAGCTGGTTTGTGACGGGGAAACTCCTGCACAAAGCCCCGAGCATGAGCAGTACGACCCGCTGCTGGTTAAAGGGCCAGGCACTCTTTAAAGGGACAGGCACTCTTTAAAGTGCAGAGGAGAGGAGACAAAGACAGGGACACAAACACCTCTGCACGGTTTATGCACCTGAAGCATTCAGCAGATACTTATGACTCAATAACAGAAGAAATACTTCTAATGGAACATGCATTATTTTATTATTATTATGATGCACTCAATTAAAAAAGGAATGCAACAGGAGAGATGGATAGATAGATAGATGGATTATGGGTCATGATAAATACATTCCTTGACTTTAACCATCTTGGCCACTCACCTTTGTAAAAAAACAAAAAACAAGGGAGATTTATATAGAGAATACATTTAGAACAGGGTAAAAACAAAACCTGAAACAACATAAAAACATATCTATGTTATGGAGACAATCATGAGACAAGACCATGTGAATGCATAAAATGAATGCTGTTTTATTGTTAATAAAATGAGATATGAATTGTATTACAGTAGTTTCAGCAGTATCATAATTTCCTTATTCTTGTTTAAAGACACATGGTCATTACAAACGCTTTTGCAAGATATGTCAATGTCTATTATTATCTAGTATTTCTTAGGTGAACTGTTTGTGGTTTAGCTCCAAAGGACCTCAGCATGCGTGTCATTCTTTTAGCTGATGGTCCTGATGGCTGATGCCTTGTTGTTACCTGCAGTAATAGTTTGGTGGATTTGTATTTGTTCAAGGACCTTTTAAAACCCTCAAGTAAATAGCAATTCTTTGAAATTCCTGCAGTGGATATTCAGTTCTCCAATTTTGTAGTCACTAAAAAACATGTTAGACTCTTTCTCACACACACACACACACACACACACACACACACACACACACACACACACACACACAGTTTTTATATGAGCATGCATAACCACAGGGAATGATAGCTAATTAAACAGCAAAATGTTCATTTCTGCTGGGAGAAAATGCTCTGAAAACCAGCCAAATACATCTTTAATGGATCCATTAGAGCACTGCTCAAATATTATCTTTATCTATTCATGAGCTGGGAATAGTAAAAGCGTGAAAGCATGCTGGGACTGTTTACTGTGGAGATTAATAAGGGAACATATTCATAAAGTGCACGACCATCCTCTGTATTTCTGAAGTTTCTGGAGCAGATTCAGACTCAGACATGACAGGAACTTTAAAACCAGCAGAGCCTGATTCCCCTCACAACTGTCTTCCTAATTTATTCCACTTTGAAGGCTTTACAGACACAAAGAATCACTTCGGAGTCGAGCGGTTCTTTCGGGTAAAACAAAGCCAAGATTTGCATCTGTGTTCCCCGAGGGCTCGCGAAAACATCCAGCGAGCGAGAGGACGATAATCCTATAATCAGAAGAAAGGCTGGAAGAAAGACGGATCATAACGCTGCAGGATGAGAAAGAGAACTTGAGATATTGATCACAACAGTGTGAACATTGAGCGCATTAAAGTGCATTTGATTAAAGACACAATTGCATGACCCCGTTACATCACCCCAGCAGCGCTCCAAATCCCCCAATTTCCTCCCTGATCACTTTTGATTTATCGAAACTCAACACAGCTGTTTAGTTTCCAAACATCAACAGTAATCTGGGAGGAGGACATTCAAGGGATTTCACTTAATGCTCCACTCATCAATATTTTTGAAGGGCTATGTGTAATGCTAAGGCGTCGCCAGCAGTAAATTACCTCCAGCTCTGAAGATGATTGGCTGAGTTTTGCTCACAGTTTTGGTTTTTCAGGAAAATGACTGTATGTTTAAGTGTCAGTGCTCTCTTCAACTTCATTTCCAGCAACAGCAGGAAACACACAAGCTCTAATAACCCCTGTTCTACCTGCACAGCACAACACAGAAGATGTTTCTCTCAGAAGTTGGAGGAGACCAAACCGGAGCTCAAAGGAGAGTTTAGTTTCTGTGATTTCCATCGTTTTCAAGTTATTTTAAAGGGGACCTATCATGCAAAATGCACTTTTCTACGTCTTTTCTACATGAATATGTGTCCCCGGTGTTCCAGGGAACTCACCAAGTGTCAGAAAACACAACCCTCTCTATTTTCCTCCATACCCAAATCTCTAAAAAAGGGGCTGCAACGGATCTGATACAGACTGATCCAGATTTGAACACTGTCCTGACGTCAGGACGGTGGCGCTACGGCTATTGGGCCAACTCCACCAATCAGGAGGAGATAGCCACGGCCATTGCCGTTCGAAAGCGCTGGAGACGCTGTAGTACATATGCCAGGCCTGTAGATGGTGCTGTTCTCACAGAATCTGCCCTTGCAGAGCAGAGCTAAAAAAAAGTGCAAATTGAGCAAAATGAGGCATGGCTAAAATGCATGATCTGTTTGGTATTTTGAAAAGAAAAAAGTATAAATATGCCTTATATAGGTATGGTCCTACACTATATTATTCAAATATAGCATGATAGGTCCACTTTAAATAACATGTTGGTTTACCCCTGATGACCAGCTCTGTTAACAATGAGAAGTGAATCCGACTGACCTGCGTTCATCAGGTGGACAAACAAAACTCAACATTTGTAAAAGGTTAAGTGTTTTCTAACTTTATAAGGTGCCAAGGTTGTGTGTGTCAACTTGTTGAGCAGTTATTCTGCCTCCAGGTGGCCAGACATAATGCAGCTTTAAATAGACCTCATCACATGGCATTTAACCCAGAAAGATTTACATGCAGAAGGGGGAGAAGTACTCTGATATTGTACTTGAGTAAAAGTAGAAGTACTCAGCTCTTGTACTTGAGTAAAAGTAGAAGTACTCAGATCTTGTACTTGAGTAAAAGTAGAAGTACCAGAGTGTAGGAATACTCTGTTACAGTAAAAGTCCTGCATTCAAAAAGTAGCGACAGTAAAAGTAGTCATTGTGCAGATTGGTCCATTTCAGAATAATATATATGATATGTTTTATAATGATTGATCATGAAAGTGTTCTCAAAGCTGGTAAAGGTGCAGCTAGTTTGAATGACTTTGTATACTGCAGGGTAGCTTGTGGATTTACTCCAGGTGGAACTAAAGTCTGATTTAACACTTGATTATATTTCACGTCATTCATCCAGATCTGTAAAGTAACTAAAGGTATTAAATACATGTAGTGGAGTCAAAGTACACCATGTACCTCTGAACTGAATGAGTAGAAGTAAGGCATAACATTGAAATACTCAAGTAAAGTACCTCTAAGTAAGTACAGTACTTGAGTAAATCTACTTAGTTACTTCCCACCTCTGCTAACATGATTGTAAGCCAACTTGTCTCCGATGTAAAACAAAGCTTTCTTGAGGTTCAACAGGACATATTGAGCATGAAAAAGGTTGTGGTCATTGTTAACAGAAACCGACTCTGACAGTGAGCAGGAGTTGACGTTATGCAGGCTGCAGTGCATGTCAAAGTCACTTTCCCTGAGATAAAGTCCATTATTTAGGAGAAAAAGCTACATTTTAAACTTTAAAATGCAGCTTTAAAGGGTGAAAAGATAAATGAATGTTCAGCACAGGACTGATCCATCTTCATCAACTTCATTTGATCAGTGGGGATGTTTTTGTGTGGGTTTGTTACCTCATACACGCCACATTAATTCACAAAATTGTTATTAATTTCAGTCATTTACTACGAGCCTGCATCAACTCCAGTGATTCTTATTTGGACTTTCAGTACAGCAGGTATTCTGGCAGCTTCTCCAGGAAACAGCTGCTTTATAGCACACTGGCTTTTCCCTTTACACACACACACACACACACACACACACACACACACACACACACACACACACACACACACACACACACACACACACGCACACGCACACGCACACACACACACACACACACACACACACACACACCTTGCTGCTGCTGACACACACTTCTTTCGTTGCCCTAATTACCCAGTTTCTCTTGCTAGGAAGACGACCATCTGCCTTGCTTCTAAATTAGGGAGAGCATTTATCACATTTCTGGAGACAGGGAGAACTGATCCAGGTTTTTTTTTGCTTTGCCTTTTCAGATAAATGACAAGGTCAAGGACACGGAGACGTGCACATCAATATTCATTAACCTGCTGGTGGGTTATGAGGTGGAAAATGAATTGTTTGTAAGAGTTTAATGTCGGGATAATTAGATATTAGCTGCTAAAAAGACCTATTAATCGTTAGTGGTACGTGTGTAACAGGGTTAAGTAATCAGGATACTAAAAAAAGTAAACATGATGGATAACTAGCAGGATATTTTAGAATAAATATCTTGGTTTCTTCTTTTCTGAGGTTAAAAACGCCTCCATTGGCCACCTTTGTTTACTTTGATGGTGACATCACTATGTAACACTCACGCTCCTATTGGCTAGCGCTCTAACACATTGTACGTGATAGGCTAAGGGGCGGGACATCTATAAGCTGTTGACCAATCACAACAGAGCCGTCCAGCCAAGTAAAAGCAGTGGTGGAAAGTAACTAAGTACATTTACTCTAGTATTGTACTTAAGTAAAGTACACACGTTAAAAAACGACTTGAGTATTTGGATTTAAAGCTACTTTATACTTCTAGTCCACTACATTGCATAGGCTAATACTATTTACTCGTAGTTTACATATAAAAACACATCTCTAAGCGGTTGACCAATCATACTGATAGACACCTGAACATCAGCAGGAGAGGACTCTTTAAAGTAGAGACACTACATACTGATATACACCTGAACATCAGCAGGAGAGGACTCTTTAAAGTAGAGACACTACATACTGATATACACCTGCACATCAGCAGGAGAGGACTCTTTAAAGTAGAGACACTACATACTGATATACACCTGAACATCAGCAGGAGAGGACTCTTTAAAGTAGAGACACTACATGCTGATATACACCTGAACATCAGCAGGAGAGGACTCTTTAAA